TACTGGCCAGGTATGGTAAATAGCGTCAAACATTCCAGTCAATCCAGTCAAAAATCTGGATCCAAGTCAAACAAAGTCCAAGTCAAAGAATCCAGTCAAACAGTGTCATACATGTCAGATGGCAGGTAAACCGAACATCTTTATCCCCAGAGCACCACTGATTCCCATACAGGTGCCTGCGGAACCTTTCCACAGACTTATTATAGACTGTGTTGGTCCTTTACCTCGGACCAGTTCAGGTAACGCCTATATCCTAACCATCCTGTGTCCTACCACCAGATTCCCCATAGCAGTTCCAGTAAAAAACATTACGGCTGCTACGGTTGTGAAACACTTACTGAAGATCTTCACCCAGTATGGATTTTCAAGGGAGGTTCAGAGCGAATGTGGCACCAACTTCACCAGTGATCTCTTCAAGAGGACACTGGAAGAGTTCAACATCAAACAGGTATTGTCCAGCCCCTATCATCCTGATTCACAGGGTTCTCTTGAGCGTAGTCATCAGACTATTAAAGCACTCCTGAAGAAGTTTTGTAATGAAACCTCTAAGGATTGGGATAAGCAAATTGATCTGATTATGTGCATTTATAGAAGTCTTCCCAATGAGTCTCTAGGAGTATCTCCTTATGAGATGCTCTACGGACGTAAGTGCCGTACTCCTCTCAAAGCTTTCAAGGACTCTCTATGTGATGCCACCTTCAGTGAGCATCAGAATGAGCCCCAGTTTCTTCAAAACCTACAACACATTCTAGAGAGGGTACATAGTTTTGCCAAAGATAATCTATTGAAAGCACAGGAGAGGATGAAGACTCATTACGACCAGACCAGCAAAGTAAGGAAATTTAAACCGGGAGATTTCGTGCTTGCCTACTTCCCTATCCCAGGTTCTCCTTTGCAAAACAGGTTTTCAGGACCCTACCGCATCAAGGAGTGCAGAAACAACCACAACTACGTTCTAGAGACTCCAGATAGGCGGCGGAAGACCCAGTTGTGCCACGTCAACCTCCTGAAGCTATATAACGGTACTCCTCCCACTGTAATGATAACATATTCTTCCTTTAAAGAGCCATACATCCACAGTGAGACCTTCCCTGCTTCTCCTCCCGAAAGCACTGACACGGAGTCAGCGCTTTCCAATTCGGAAATCCTAACTGATCTTCATAATTATTTTCAGGACAATCATAGTGCACCTCTCATCAAGATCTTCAAAGAACATCAGGAGTTGTTCCGAGATGATCCACAAGAGTGTAATGTTACCCAGCACGACATCCAACTGCTCCCTGACACCCGGCCGATTCGTCAACCCTTCTACCGAATCAGCCCTAGCAAGAAGGAAGTCATGCGTGCTGAGGTGCAGTACCTCTTAGATCATGGACTGGCTACACCTTGTGAGTCCCCCTGGGCCTCACCCTGTATCTTGGTGCCAAAACCCCAAGGTAAGGTTAGACTTTGCACGGACTACCGTAAATTAAATAATGTGACTGTCAAGGATGCATACCCCTTGCCACGGATAGATGACATCCTTGACGCCATTGGTAATGCCCAGTACTTGTCCCAAGTGGACTCGCTCAAGGGGTATTATCAAGTGTGTCTAACAGAGCGAGCCAAAGAAATATCTGCCTTTATCACTCCCTTTGGACTTTTCAGGTATGAACGCCTTCCTTTTGGACTATGTAATGCCCCGGCCACCTTTCAGAGAGCTGTCAACCACGTCATCCAAGGCTTGGATAACACCTACGCCTATTTGGATGATATCGTTGTAGCATCCAACACCTGGAGCGAACATCTGCTCCAGCTGCAACGACTGTTCGCCAAGCTCCTGACAGCTGGCCTCACCATCAACCTGGGCAAGTCCACATTTGCCAAAGGTAAAGTGCGTTATCTGGGTCATGTAATAGGGAGTGGCAGCCTAGCTCCGTTAAACACACACACTCAAGCCAACCAGCATTATCCACAGCCTATCACCAGGAAGCAGCTCCTGCACTTCCTTGGTCTTGCCTCCTACTACCGTAGGTTTGTGAAGAATTTTAGTACGGTAGCAACCCCATTAATTACTTTAACCAGTCCCAAGCAACGGTATAATTGGACCATGCAGCAAACCGTTGCTTTTGAACAACTCAAATTCCTCCTCTGTTCTAATCCTATTCTCGCCTCGCCAGATATCACCAAGCCTTTCATCCTTCATGTCGACGCCAGTGGTACTGGCATCAGGGGTGTCGTGATGCAGCAACGAGGCGAGGAGGTTCTACCTATCAGCTACTACAGCTACAAGTTGAAACCCCACCAGAGGAACTACAGCACTATCGAGAAGGAGCTACTCTCCATCGTCCTGAATCTCCAGCACTTTGCTCCATACCTACAAGGTGCCAGGTCTACCACCATCTTCTCATACCACAATCCTCTCTGCTTCTTACATCAAGCCCAATTCAATAACCAACGTCTTCTACGATGGGCTTTATATCTGCAAGATTTCAACCTGGAGATCCGCTATATCAAGGGTTCTGACAACATCATAGCCGACGCCCTCTCCAGAGTCTATGAAGTAGAAACAACTCCAACTATCACTCCACCACATGAGACGTAACTTCTTCCAGAACCGCAGGCTTCGGGGGAGAGTTGTGACGATAATCTCTTTCAAGAGAGATTGAGCCTGCTCTTCCCTACACATTTACGTCGTTCAAGTACAAGATACTATATTGAAGATACGTCCACCAGTATCGCCAAACGTTTTGCCCAGGAAGCAAAGCGTACCATGCACAACCCGACACACCGGCTACCGCCCGCCATCAAACCAGCAAACTACTCATTCTCCGCCTGCCTGTTGCTGATTGGCTGGTGTGTCGCCGCACCTGCACTCACGCCACTACACGAGTCGACGTCTGGGCCAGCAGCACGATATCTCCTCAGAATATCCCTGTGCTCCTTGGAGTTGACATCTCTCTATAGTAGACTAAAGCTCTGGCTGTCGTGCACTAAGGGAGGTGGCAGCTTGAATCCAGTATTCTCAGCACCTCACCTGATTTATATTACTTGCACTTACTTGTCTTAGAGTAAATTTTCACTGACCTTAATTATTCATGTTGTTTTGTTTGTTGACTTGTTTTGAATTTTACGAGATTGTCTTTATTCATATCTTGTTTTCTAGAGTAATTAAAATTTCATTGTTTATACTTTGTGTTTTGTGTGTCTTCCCATTACCTTACCACAGACAAAAGGACAAACTTTTTTTTTTTTTTTTTATGTGACGAGGCCCTGCCCCCAGCTTTTGAAACAGCCGAACACCAACGCTTTACCGTCACAATACATATACATTTACGGTCGAGATGTCTATCGAGAGCCTCACATGCCCAATAAGGAAGAGGGGGAAGACGGGAGAGCGTCACTAGACACGAGAGAGCATGGCGCGGACGCCATTGACAACATGTAGTAGAGCTACGTTTTGATCCCATTTATTTCGCTCCCACGGCCAGTAGAGCGGTGCCACGTTATCTGGCACAGTAGCCGTGTCCCAGACTATCATATGAGCAATTCCAAAGTCAACGCCTTTCAAGCAGCAGCTGGAGGACGAAGAATTGCTCAAGTCTCCACATCAACGGACACGCGGCTCGGCAGCTAGGTTCACCTTTTTGTTATTATGTGGCCACAATTAACATTTAGGCTAGTTGTCGTTAGGCCGTAGAACAAATACAATCCAGTACGTGTCTTAAGTAAATTTACCATCTAAATAGATGATTAATTTCATTATTTTCTCCAAAGAAAATTTACAGTGTTTGAATATAAATTGCTCAAATATTAGCTGATAATTTCCACTATTATCCTCATAATTTAGGTTGTATTTGTAGTTACTTATTATGTAGATTTTTACAATGTAATTGCCTTTCAGTACCAAGGCGACGCCAACCGAGGTGCTAGGCTTCCCACCGTTCCATGCAACAATTTGCCCTATGCAACACGTCGTCGGTGGAGCGTAGCAACTGATTACACCTCACTAGATTACCAGCTAAGCTGTCCCTTTTTTATCTGTAGCAATAACTCTGTAGTTACAGTAGTGATCTCTCAAAGAGATCAGTTACACTAACCCATTGATTTACTGATGCTGTTCAACATTTCAGTAGTATATTGAGGAGCATTTATCTCCAATTAATATTATATAATCAACCTTATTTCCTTTCCTATTTTATTTACTCTGGTGAAGAACCAGCACCAGAATAATGCTAGGGATATATTAATCTTTTAGCATGTAACCCCCCAATTTTGTGTAAGTTAATTTGACTCCATATATATAAGAAATACAGTTTCACTAAGATCCATAGGACACTAGTTCTTGGGATCAGTTTTTCCATTGTCTTATTTTGTTTTCCACTTTTTCTCAAAAAGTGGTGGTCCTTCATAGCTATCGAAGTATATATTTAATTATTAGTTATTGGAGTCAGGTTTTCCCCCACACCCCGTACCACCACTGACACATAAAGGGACCGTGTACCACCACTGCTACCACTAATACACGTGGGGACCCTGTACTACCACGGTGACAGCACCTGCCATGTTAGCAGGGAAAGCTGCTTATACAGTTGTGGCCCAACCTGTACTAGCAGCTATGCTGATGACCAACTCAGGAGACCAGTCAGTACCTGCCTGCAACTCAACCAGTCACACGGACTGAAACAACACACAGATATAAATGCTGTACAGATGTGCATATTCTAATTTTTCTTGAAGGATCTTTGAGCGGCGTTGTTTTAAGGACGTCCCAAAGCACAGCTGTAAATCTGATGGCATTAGGAATTGAAAATACTAGGTTTTAATCAAATCTAGAATAATGTAACCATATTAGCATATATTTCAGTTCATATTTATAAAGGACTGCTATGTATTTAAGTCTTATTTAAGTATTTATTTATGCTCTGCTCTTATTTATAAATGTTCAATACTATACCACAAAGTAACACAGATTATGTGAAAGGTTTAGTTCAAAAGTTTGGCAAAGTATAAGACTGTACCTTTAGCACCTAGTACGATGAAGGGCAATGCCTCGAACCACGCACACATTTTGGCTGGAAAATTTCTCTTGACTCTGAAAGCAAAAAAACTAATTGATAATGACCAGACATATTATTTTTAGATTCAACAGAGCAGAAGTTGTTAAACACATAGAGCGAAATTTCCCTGAAGCGACCATACGAGTCATAAATACTCATATTCCGCCTAAGTCAGGCTGCGAGCAGCCGCGTCCAACAGCCTGGTTGATCAGTCCAGCAACCAGGAGGCCTGGTCGACGACCGGGCCGCGGGGACGCTAAGCTCCGGGAAAAAATTGATAATATTAAAGAAATTACCTTGCTCTGAAATGAAAATATCAAGAGTTATTATTTGCATGTATTTGCAATATTTAGAGAATAGTTTTTAAACCATAAATGAAATGAAGTTAGTTGAGGAAGCAATAAAGGAAATGTCTTTATATGCTTGGGAAGGTTATCTTGAGAGGATTTTGGGGCTTAGCGTCCCCGCGGCCCGGTCCTCGACCAGGTCTTCTTTTTTGTTATACATACCCCGAAGAAGCAGCCCGTAGCAGCTGTCTAACTCCCAGGTACCTATTTACTGCTAGGTGAAAATGAAAATCAGAGTGAAAGAAACTTTGCACATTTGTTTCCGCCTCCACCGGGAACTGAACCCGGAACCTCAGGACTATGTATGAATCCAAAGCGCTGTCAGGCCGCCTTATAACACTGGCCTGGGAAACACTCCTTCTGGGAAGAAGAAAGGGAAGGGAATTATCAGGAGAAAGCGCCAAGCCATTATGACTATAAAGCATTGGAAGGGTTCAGGATAAGGATTTGGGATGGGACGGGGGGAAAGGAATGGTGCCCAACCACTTGCATGGTCAGGGATTGAACACCGACCTGCATGAAGCGAGACCGTCGCTCTACCGTCCAGTGTAAGGGGTTGGGGAGTGTTTACAATTTCATCTACGTTGGTCTCATTTTCCTAATTGTAACACTTCCCCTACAGGAGTCAACTTGAATTAATCCTGTTAATGACCAGGAAACTGTGCAACATAGCACCGAGACATAGTGGGGGCGATTTAACTCAATAAAGCTAAATAAAAAATAGTTTTTGTCCCTTCTAATATGGTTAAAATGCATTTCCCCTGATCACGGGATAAAAAAAAAAAAAAGATTGTATATGACTGACTTCGGCCGTGGTGAAGTGATTATATTGGATGGCCTGTAGCCGCGTGGCAGGAGTTGCTGTGGAGGTATATGTAGATATATATATCAATATCTCTGATTTGTTTTCCATCTTTTTATATCCAGGATTATTCAATGGTGTGTCATTTGAGAAATTTATGTAATAAAATGTGTGAAACATCAGAATGCTCAAATATTCGTCTCGTAAATATGCGGACTATATTAAGTGCTTATAGCACAATATAGCGCCACACACTAACCAGACGACGAGACAACATGCTTACCCTGCCAGGAGTACCGACCTCTCACCTTGCACCAGTGACACAGTGTGTGCAAATATTGAACTTCAGCCAGCATTTGTTTCGTGTTGGTTCACGATGTTCCGTTTCCGTTTAAAATGATAGACTATGAATGCTAGTGTGATTGGGCGGTTTGAAGAGGTGCTAGGAATGGGCCAGAACCGTTTGTTTCACTTATGGGAATTTCAAGGGTATTGAAGTGGAACCTGACCTGTGAAAGTTATTTTATCAAGAGATTTGCCTTCCACTGTTTATGTCCAGGGTTTCCGGCTTAGTATAGTGTACATTGGTCAGCCCATTACTTGTTTCAGGAGTGGGCTCCCCAGACGTTTTGTGGCTCTGTGTATGGTACAGGCAAAGGACAAGATGAATATATATGGGGGGATTTTCAAGTCTGATGCATGCAGAACAAAGTCGTACTCGTGGGTTCGATGGAGGTGGCACCTGCGCTCGAAGATGTGGCACGGAATGAATGTGTGACAGTTTCCGGGTGAGGACCATGTAATACGTGGGGTGTCAGCGACACTTTCAGTTGCTTCTACTATTACCGGCCTGATGGATGTGGATGCATAGGTTCAAGGCAGGGAAAGACATATATAGGTCTCCAATGGGGACCAGGTGGATGGTTCGATTGGTACAGTTGGTTGTCCTGCTGTTTTATTGCCGGTGCATCAGAGTTCAGCCCTGTGGACTCGGTTGTGGTGGTGAACCCTGCGGATAAGGAGGACTGACGAATTAGTGGTGAATGCAAGCAACAGAGGGAGGATACTAATGGGTGTCTCCTGTAGAGAATTGTGTTTGTGTGATGGAGGCGGCGGTCCACGATGAGCTACATAGCAGTGTCTCGCCAGAACACTGGCCCTGAGAGGGCGTGCTGGACAGAGGTGTGGTGGAGTCTGGTGTTGCCCTCATGTTGGTAAGCGTCCACCACCTGGTATGGGAAGCCCGGGTACATGGCGAAAGTGGAGGCGTACCTCCTCAAGAGGAATACTTCACTGCCCTAAAACTTCGAACTCTCAGGAGACCCTACACGGAGAGGCCACTCCAGACCGACAACCAGGCCACTCCAGACCGACAACCAGGCTACTCCAGACCGACAACCAGGCCACTCCAGACCGACAACCAGGCTACTCCAGACCGACAACCAGAGCGCAACTCCATAGTATGCTGAGACTGATAGATGCCTACTACTACTACTACTACCTCCTCTCAGTGTAGGGTCTACTGGGAGTGTCGAAGTTTCTGAGCAGTGGAGTGCGGTGGCGAGGGAAAAAGCGTAGTTTCGATGATGAACGTGTTGACGTTGTCTCTCCTGAAGGATTCAGAGGTTGGGTCAAGGGCTAGTGAGTGCCACTCTGTCGATTTCTGGTAGAGTGGGAGGTGGTGAGTAGTTTAAATGTGGCGTTTTCATCTCGAAGGTAGTAGGTTGCGTGTTAGGGATTGCCCAGGGATTGGGTGTGCTGTATAACGTTAATGCATGTCACGTGGGTCCCGAATTGTTTTGTGTCATTATGCATTGTATTGAATTTTGATTGTGTGTTGATTTTTGGGCACTATGTGGTATTATAGTTCATAGTGTTCCTACCATACAATTGTTTGGGGTTTTATCTATATTACAAATTCATGTTTTCTTGCCTGTTACAACTTTGGTACCTAATTCCTAGTACATGTAACGACCATCGCTTGTTGGAGATCCTTTTCCGGAGTGAGTGAATTGGTACTTATGAATTAAGTGTGCCTGAATCTTTTTCTTAACGATTCAGTGCACCGAGTTATACTTTGTGCGTTGATATGTCATGTTTAATCGGTCATTGAGGGCCTTTTTATTCCTGTTAATTTGTCAATACATGTTTCTTGTACATCATTCCGTCAATGTCTGTAAGGCATTGTTACTGTGTGGTGTCTTGCCTTTATATTATCTTATGTATATTAAATTCCATTCCATTGTATTTAGTTTGCTGTACTTTCTCTGCTTTCCAATGTGCTGTCATGTTCTCTGTATGTGCAGTTATCTGGGTGTGGTTTTTATTTATATGTGATGTGTGTGGACAGTACATTAAGGGTTTTCAGTTTGTTCTCCTTGTGCTCACTCTGTCATCTGCGTGCTTGTGAACTATTTTGTTATTTTGTTCGTCGTAAGTCTTGTTTGCAAACGATGAGCCACAATAATGTGGCTGAAGATATATAGACCAAACGACCAATCAGAAGGTGAAGAAACGACGATGTTTCGGTCCGACCTGGACCATTCTCAAGTAAAATTCGCCTTACGACAAACTAACGACGTTTTTCTTTTCTTTTCTTTTTATTTGTAAAACAAACAAAACAACATAAACGGCACTGAAGCACCAAATAAAACCGATTAGAAGTTCCACACCCAACATCAACACCATAAAGGAGAAATACAACACAGAACATTCAGAGTAACACATCATGGAAAACATTGAAAACATTAATAACAATGAACACAGAAACATAGTGCACAGAGCAATGCAACACAATGTGAAAACGCAAATTGAACAGTAAAAATGGTACAAAGGAACACACTTTAGGAAGACCCGCACCACCCTGATGGGGCGTGCCAATATGACATAGTAAGTAAAACACCCAACACCAAGGTATCAAAATAATGAAAGACAGTGAATACAAGTGTACAAAAGAAAAACAAAACAAAAATGAAAGTAAAGTAAAAACACACATAATACTCTGCACAAAACACAACAACAGACATACCAAGGAAACAGAAACACATTACACACACACATGAACAGAGCACAAACAAAACAGAACACACACAGCACACAGAAACCCCATGTGAAAAACAATACACATCAAATGTGAAAGTTCAATAGAGACATATAAATGAGAACACAATAAGTATAACACAGTAAATATAACATGAAATAGAACAGAGTACACACAAACAGCAACCGCACCCAGACGGGTCGTGCCAACCTGGACACATGATGTAAGCACATAATAAAAGGCATCAATACATAAGGACAGGGAGAACACAAAGCAAGCACAAGCACTACGTACATTTAGCTGTGAACTCCTGCGCCAGATAGCGCAAGCAGTACGTTTCCCAAATCAGCATGACGTGATCGGTTACACCCAGATAGTAGAAGAGCACCATGGGATTGGATGCACCTGAGTTCCAACATCTGATGCTCACGTATCAGGGGCTACAGTTAGTGCCCGCAAGCAACACAACCAGAGGCCACAGTCAGTGCTCGCAAGCAACACATCAGAGGCCACAGTTGGCCCACAAACAATACATCAGAGGCCACAGTTAGTGCCCACAAGCAACACATCAGAGGCCACAGTTAGTGCCCACAAGCAACACATCAGAGGCCACAGTTAGTGCCCACAAGCAACACATCAGAGGCCACAGTTGGTGCCCACAAGCAACACATCAGAGGCCACAGTTAATGCCCACAAGCAACACACCGAGAGGCCACAGTTGGTGCCCACAAGCAACACATCAGAGGCCACAGTTAGTGTCCACAAGCAACATATCAGAGGCCACAGTTAGTGCCCGCAAGCAACACATCAGAGGCCACAGTTGGTGCCCACAAGCAACACATCAGAGG